CCCAGCTAGCTCCGCCCCCACCCAGCTAGCTCCGCCCCCACCCAGCTAGCTCCACACCCTCCAGACTCCCCCCAAGGTCTGGCATTTTCTCCCGCCCCACCTTGAGGAAGCTGATGTTGTCCTTGCGCTCCAGCCCCAGGCGGACCCTGGAGAGGGTCTCGGTCCAGAAGGCCACTTTCCCGTTCAGCTCCTGGAGCTTCTCCTCCATCTGGGCCCGGTTCTTCTTCCGCTGCCGCTCCAGCGCCTCCTTCAGGCCCAGCTCCCGCAGGGTCAGCAGCCGGCGCATCTTCTCAAACTCCCCCGCCATGTGGTCCAGTAGGGACTCGGAGCAGCTCTAGGTGAGCAGGGAGGGGCGAGGGGGGGAATGGAGACCTGAGCTAGGTGAGGAGGGCTGATCCACCAGACCCCACTTGTGCATCAAGGCCCCTTGCAGAGCTGGGGAGAGAACCGAGCAGCCTGCCCCCTCTAGAGCAGGCCCACGTGCCCATCTACCCCGGCGTCCCGCCTCCTACCTGCAACTCTGTTAGGTTCTCCTGCTGGTGGCACTGGCTCCGTGTCAGCCTCTGGAGACCTTCCTCGAGGGGTTGTAAAGATGCTTTGAGTTGCTCCTGGGCAGCAAAGACCCGGGGTCACGGATTCGGAGGAAAGGGGCCACCCCATCAAAAGTCCCTGACTAGCAATGGGATTTCAGCCTTGCCTGGCCCTTCCCATTGGCTGCACGTCCCCCATTTCCCGCCTCTTGGGGATGGGCAGCCAATCAGAGCTGCTGCAAGAGGCAGACAGAGCATGCAACTTTCCCCCACCCCACTTCCTCCAAGAGTCAAGACAGGTCCACTTCTACCCTCCCTTCGTGTGGGGAATGGGTCAGTCCGTTCCCCTCCCTCCCCCCGTCCCACTTGGAGTAATGGGTCAGACTGCTCTCACTCCCCTCCTATTAACAATGGGTCAGTCCACTCCCTCCTATGAGCAAGAGGTTCTGTTCTGTCTCCCCTCTTCCCCTCCTGTAAACAATGGGTCAGTCCACTCCCCTCTGATCCACCAGCAGTGGGCCAATCCACCGTTTTCCCTCCTGGAGGCAATGGTTCAGGCCGTTTCCACTTCTGCCCCCTCCCCCTTCCCCACGAGTGGTGGATCACTCCATCTCCCTCTCCTCTGCCAACAATGAGCCAGGTCCCACTCACCCCTCCCTCTGTGAACAATGGGCCAGTCCACTCCTCCGCCACCTCCTTAAGAGCAATGGGCCAGTCCCCCCCCCCCTACCTCCCTGTGAACAATAGGTCAGTCCACCCCCCCCCCCACCCCCTCAACT